GTTCATAGTTATTAACATGGCACAGCATTGGTAGCATTATCAGTAAAACACTGAGATCGGGTGATATATTGGTCAACATGAACAATCAGTCTATATCGAATAAGTATATTGTGAAGCAGGTTCCTTTACTAATCATTCAGCTGTAACTGTGAACACTATCACGCGATCACTAGATCACGATAGTATCAGAAGTTTTACACAATAAATTCCGTATAAGTTCATTCTCAAGTTTCACTCTTTCTTACATAATCAGACTGGTATTAATTTATATTGGAAGATAACTATCTAATTATCGTTGAAATATACGTTATTTGTTTATACTATGAAAAGATAATGATAAAATTACAGATGGTACTGTATGAGAGCAAAAAATGCAAGTAAATTTACAATGGAACGTCAATCAAAAATGAATCCACCGAAAATTAGTTGAAATCTTCGATTCGTCATATTGCAATATTAAACTCAATCAGCACGGACAGTAGTACTCGAGAGTACTCAGTAGGATGTTCAGCAAAAACGAACAGTTTCATAATAACATTATTAACTAACAAGGACATCAAAATGAACATAATATCATTCATCATTACCTATTAAATATATCAATTTTGCATATCCTTATGGAAGGGAGAAATAATAATAACCACTTTCTTGATGGTTGGATATAATTTGACTGAAGAAAAGCGACCAACAGCAATGATAGAAACATTGGTTATGTATAGAAGAATTGTAATATTTCTAATTTTACTTTTTTTACACTTTTTATTATAATTATTTTTTTCCTTTTTCTGATTTGTTTTTAATTTTCTTGTTTTATTGTATTTTTCGTTTTTTCATTTAAATTATAATTTTCTCATTTATCAAATAGGAGTGCAGGAGTGGATGTTTCATCACCACAGATGTTTTTGAATGACAAAGCAGACAGGAAAGGAGCAGCTTCGATAAGCAAAAAACCGGAAAAATAAAATCTTTGAATTCAATAACAATTGCATTCCTGAAACAAATGTAGCAAAAGCTGCTGTCAAAATTATCAAATTGGGTTTATTGCTTCCCGAAGGATGTATTGACGATGTTAAATGCAAACAGTTTTTTTACAAAAATGACCCCTCCTGTGGACCAATTCTTTTGAATCCTGTACAGCAGGGAACTGATATTTTTTTCATGTCACGAAATCCGCATGACCTGTTAGGACCTGACACTTGGAGAATTATTTTTTATTCAGGGCAAAATTTTTCTAATGATCAGGCCTGTACTCCAGTTAGAGAAACATGAGGGGGCAGATGAAGAAAAGATTGCTTCGATTATGGCGAGGGAATACTGAAGAAAAAAACATCGAAAAATTTTTGAAATATTAGTCAGTGCTCTAATATACCTTAATATAACTTAAACATTTGATCAATTACCATCCAGAAAAGTGCTTAATGCCTTAAAATAGTCATGGAAAATGTGACGTGTTAAACTGTAAGAGTAGATTTGTTACCTATTTTAAGAAAGATAAATAATTCAAAAGATTTACCACTTTCTTTTTCAGATTCATTTTAGATTTAAAGGTCGAATTTTGTATAAAAAAATTTAGTATGTGCTTAGTTATCTAGTAGATGAGCAGCAATTGAAATATTCGAAAATGAAAAATGAAAATGAATAGTTGAATAAAACTAATAGTATAAACCTTCACTTCTTAATAAAGATGTGGTTTTTATTAGAAGTTAACGGATTAGTTACATTATATATGCAAATTCTAGAATGTGATTTCCATCTCTTTTCTGTTCAATTATTCTCTATTAGTTTTACCCTTCTCGCTGCCCAATTTACATATGAATTCCGGGAATCAATATCGTTTTACAACAAAACAAAAAGTGATGTTCATCAGACGATCGATCACGTGAAAGACCAGAAATGTCAATGCAGTGTCAACTACAATAACAGTCATAGAGGGTTCTCTCTTTTCCATTTATATATTCGTTTTAGTATCAGTACTTCACCTTCTTTCTGTAATCTGATAGATTGTACTGTTTAGGAAAGATGAAATAATTAGTTAACTTTGGAAAATTATTGAAGAAATTAAGCAATCACATGATAGAAGCAGACGTAACCTTGTAAAAATATTGTGTGAATCAAAGAATTGAGAAGTTGCGGATTGAAATGTTATATGAAATTTTCAAATTGTTTTACGGTTCTTATATAACATGTGGGAGAGATTAAAACAAACAGACAAAAAAAGTACTAAATCGAACAACTCTATAAATTTCTTTTTTTCTTGCGTGATCCGACTGCGCTTAAAAAATTAATGAAGTGCAGACAATAACGTTTATTGCTGACATTTGAAATATTTTAGATTAAATTCTTTTGTAACACATACATTAACAATGCGCATATAAATAAATGTCTGTGAATATTTATGGATCCTATTAAAGAAAAAGTGAAAAATGATTGTTTATACAATTTGAAAACCTTTTAAAGACGTTTAGACTTTTTCTCATATTTCAATTCAGTTGAATTCGAATTTTTATTTAGATTTTGTTAAATTTTGTCGCTTCTTCTCTAACATTTAGATTTTTCTCTTACATTTTAACCCAGTTCAATCCGAATTTTATTCAAATTTTGTAAAATTCCATGTTGCTTCTTTGAGATCAAATGATAAATTTGATCTATTTTTGTGGATAATGATTGAATAGCTATCAAGTTATGTTGTAAAACGTGCACCACTCTTTACAATTTAAATTATTTATGCCACAATATTAGACAGCACTGATAGAATTTAAATTGTAATTATCATGATGACCAGAATTTTGATTTTAACTTTTGAAGTTTCTGTGAAATCTTCTAAACTGCAATTGTATCAAATTCACACTGATCATTGGTGGCAAGAAATAGAAATGGAGAAAAAATCGAGCTGGAAAAATAAATTCTATGATGATGCTCAACCAATCCGACACGCTTCATTTGTAGAAATCGTTAGTTTTTATAGCTTTATTAGTTAAAATTTATTTATGCAAAAGTACATGGTGCAATTTTAAAGTCATCTATACATTTATGATGAAAGGATGCTTAAATTTGCATAAATTAAATTATGTGGTCCTGGAAATCTCGTTCCCTTTCATCAAAAATCCCCTTTTCCCAATGATTTCTAAGTAATATATTTCTTTTTCCTTTTTTAATTCAATTTTTGACTGATCTAATTATTTAAGGGATGCTTTGCTATAATTTATTGAAAAAAGATTGCAAATTTGGAATGTCCTTTCATTAGTTTTTATTTTACTAATTTGTAAATTTCTCTCTGATTAGTTTTCATTTGGTGTTAATCACACGTAAACATACAAATTGTATGGGTGATTGACAAAAGCATTGATGATTAATATCGATATTAAAAGCAGCAGAATATATTGGTAGCAAAGTAATTGTTACGTTTTCTAATATTTAAAATTTTACAGTTGCGATATGCTCAACGACGAGATTATATTTTGTTTGGTTTTGGTATCACATTATCAATGGCGAACGGAGCAATATCACCACTCAGCTCTGTCTTTTTCAGAGTAAATTATAATTTGTTGCTCATAAACGGCTTTCAAACTAAAAATTTATTAGTGAAAAAATACTGTATGTGCAGTTTCTGTGAGATATACAATTTTATTAAAATGTTAAATAGAGATATTAGTTTTAAAATTGTCTACTATTTTATGTTCTCCTATTTATTAGCTCAGAATGAATTAAAATAAACTCAAGAAAAAGCAGAAACTTGCTCTGTTTACTATCGATATGCTTTAAGATTACTGATTTAACTTTATTCCGAACTGTATCCAAAGAATCTTGAAATGAATGCTTAATTTAATAAATAAATGTTAAAATAACATTTAAAAATTGCAGGGAATGATAGATGCATTAATGGTTGGCCAAGCAAATCTTGAAAACGGTACTTTCAATATAGAAACATATACACATTCAGTGCTTACTTATGTATACTTTTATGCATTACTTGGTGTCCTTATATTTCTCATCGGATTATCCTCGGTTAATTTGTTGTTTATTTCAAATTTTATTATAATAAACAAACAATATTTATTTTCCAAATCAACGAACAATTCGAAAAAAAGTTGTGGAAGAAAAAGAAATAAATTGTTACTATTATTTGCTATTGAAATACAAACAATCTTCAATCTATCAAATTGATCCATTCTAATTCAATCAACTAGGTGAAATAAAGAGTTCCTTTAGCATCTCAGAATCATTAGAATACTATTCCATTTCGCTCCACACCATATGAAATGAATTGAATTAAGAATTATAAATTACTTCTTGCATTTTTTTTAAATTTAATCATTTATCACTCATATTTTGCAGATGACATGTTTACTTACATTGAGTGAACGTCAAGCTTATGAAATTCGTAAACGATATTTTGCTGCACTATTAAAGCAAGAAATGGCTTGGTATGATAAAAAGGAAGCTGGCGCACTTACCAATAAATTGTCGGTGTATGTATTTCATCAAACTGCAAACTTTTCAAAAACTCTTAAATGGCTTGAAATTTTATGTAATTGCAGAGGAATAGAACGAATCAAAGATGGTATAGGAGATAAATTCGGCATTCTTTTGCAGGCTTTTACTCATTTAATCTCTGGCATTATCGTTGCCTTCTACTACAGGTACATTACTGTATGTAATTGTAGTAATTTTGATCGATAATAATGATCCAAAAATCTAATCAAACAAATATTTTACCCAGTCAAATCTTTAACAAAATAAATCGGATTAAATGAAGATGTAAAAAAACCTTTCTTTATTTCCAGCTGGCGCATGACTTTATTAATACTTCTTGCTGCACCAATTATTATATTATTATTGTTTGGGTCAATTAAGGTCAGTTCAATTATATTTTGCAAATTGCGGAAGAATTTGAATAAATAAAATTTCAAAAATTAGTTTTCGTTTCTTAAAATTATTGATATTACAGAATCGTATAGTCCAATAATTTCCATAATGTGCTTCCAGGCATTAGCAGTTATGACACGTCAAGAAATGCTTGCATACGATGAAGCAAGCGCTGTTGCCAATGAAGTTATTAGTAACATTCGAACAGTTACCTCTTTCAATGCGCAGTATGCCGAAGTTGTGAGGTATTTTTTCGTCTTCACATTGATAATTGAATAATTAATAATCAAAATTTTTTTAATTCACTTGTGAAATCTCACTTTTGTGTGATGAAATAAAAATCGATCCAATTGCATTCAGTATTATAACAATTTTTAAATAATGATTGATGTAATTCTTGTTAATAGATGAAGAGAGGAGTAATCTCTTCTCTTCTATTTTTCCAAGACTTGAACTTCAAGATTTTGCTATTTGTCAAAGATTAGTTCCCGAAATTCCGAAATACTTTCTCGAAAATTGAATAATTTTAGATATGGAGATCGGTTAAAATATGCGCGAAAAATGGGTATAAAAGGAATATTTATCACTGGTATTTTCACAGGTTTTTATATTTTCGTTCTCTTTGGTTCCATGGGATTTATTTTCCGGTAAGTATGTCGAATTACTATAAAATACAAAACAAAAAGAGAAATTGTTGAAAAATAGAAACCTACCATCATAATTTTTGAGCGTTCTCAGAAATTAAAATTTTTAGGACTTTCCAAATTCCAAAAATTTTTGCTCGATTTTACAGTTTAGTATAATAAAAATTGCTCCTCTTATAGAGGGGGAGAACGAAAATATGTAGGAAAGGTGCACAGGTTAATATTCCCTTAGTTCAAATAAATCATTATTACTTTTTACTAGTAATATATTTCCAATATTCATTTACATTTATAGGTACGGTACAAATTTGGTGATTGAAGGTGAAATTACACCAGGCACTGTGTTTGGTGTATTTTGGGCTATAATGCTTGGCGCAATGCGTTTAGGTCAGGCAATACCTCAACTTGGAGTTTTTACTGCTGCAAAACTTGCTGCTGGCGAAGTATTTCAAATCATCGACCTAGTAAATAAATACAAATTTTTAAAGAAATGGATCTATGAGATTTTAGGAGAAATTCAAAGAAATTAGTAAACGTCAATCCATAAAACTTATGCTTATATTCAAAAAAATGCCACCATATTTTCGTGCTTATATGCTTAGTTATTTTCTACTTATTTGTTTAGCTTAGAAAATTTGGGATATATTCAATAAATCTTCTTTAGGAACCAAAAATCAATTGTATGTCACCGCATGGATTAACTCCATTAAATGTGGAAGGTCGAATTGAATTTCATAATATCCATTTCTCTTATCCAGCTCGACCGAACGTTAAAATTTTGAATAATATATCATTCACGGTTTTAAATTTTTGCAGCATCTTTTTAAAATACTGCTCGTTTGCTGTTTATTTAAGATTTTTAATTTTGCTTTATTATGTTTCGCTGTTTCGATTCTTGTAGTTAGATTCTTTAATTTGAATTACTTAATATAATTCACTTTTTCATAGTTCGTTTTTAAACTGGCTCAAACAACTAATTAAAATATGTTATCTTATCCGAATAAAAATTTTTTTTAATTCCTTTAAATTACCTTTAAATTACAACCAAATTGATTCAAAATATTTCTTCGTTCTTCCTTTCGTTTACTTATTATTTAAAATTTTTCGATTTGAGATGAACCCGGGAAGTACAGTTGCTTTGGTTGGTCACAGCGGTTGCGGGAAATCAACCATAATCGGATTGCTGCTAAGATTCTATGAACAGCAAGCAGGAAGAGTCAGTTTTATTTCTATAAAATATTTGTCAACATTAAGCAAGTAATAGATTATTGATAACTTTCGAAGTGAAAAGTAATAGCATTATCTACCAATTAATTAATTTAAGATTACACTTGATGGCATACTAATTAGTGATTTGAATATTGAATGGTTGCGCAACAAAATTGGGCTCGTTTCTCAAGAGCCAGTATTATTTACTGCAACAGTGGAAGAGAATTTGAAATTGGGTAATGAAGCGCTCACCGAAAATGAGATGATCGAAGCTTGCAAGATAGCAAATGCTCACGATTTCATAATGAAGCTACCAAAAGTTAGCTTCATTCATTTTAAATTAAATTTCCAACTTCTTCCGAATCATCTTTCAATAAACACATACAAATGTTTTGAAAAAAATTGGATAATGAGTCCCTTGACTTTTGATAATATGCTTTATAGCAAGAAGGCTAAAAATTTCACTTTTGAAGGTTTTTAAATTGATAATTTTGCCAGAAGTGCAAAAAATAAGCAGAGTTTTTGCCTTCATATAAGGCCAGTGTGCAATTTAGAACTGAAAGCGGATTTAAACTTTTTTAAGGTTTTGTTGTGCTTTTCGATGAAAGCTTCTTTGAATATTTAGGGCTATAAGACATTGGTCGGTGTGGGCGGTGTACAGTTATCTGGTGGTCAGAAACAGCGTATTGCTATTGCTCGGGTTTTAGCTCGTGATCCAAAGATTTTGTTACTCGATGAAGCAACTAGCGCACTAGATTCGGAAAGTGAAGCTGCTGTGCAGCTTGCGCTTGACCGGGTAGTTAATTTAATCTATTCAATTTCTTAAATAGACTTAATAATTAACTTATTTCAGTTTGGTTCATTATTTTTTCAAAATCTTAAAATCAATAGAAATCCGGTTTGGTAATTGACAGAGAACTAATACCTAAAAAATAGATTTCTAAAAACGAGTAAATGAGTTGATTATTTACTGCCAACTTAAACAAAATGTGCTTTAATTCTCGATTATATTAGTTCCGATAGTTTATTAAGAAAAATTTTTATACTGATAGATACCAATATGTATCATTTCCGTTGATTTCATTGGCTGATGAAATAATCTTCTGAAATTGAATCTTGACTTTGCATTTCAACACTACAGTACTTTCTGGAAAAAAAAATTTTTCCTTAATAATGAAAAAAAAGTGAACTTTCATCACTAGCAGTTGACAGTCGGGAGGAACACAGAATAGTTACACGATAATGATATCTGTCAGGGGAATAAACATCTCGTTCATGTAAGAATAACCAGTGGTTATGTCCATTATCATTTATCACCATTACCTTGCAGGAACATAAATAAATTAAAATTATGAATGATTATTAAAGTTTTTTTTTGATTATTAAGGTTCGAGCTGGACGTACCACAATAACAATAGCACATCGTTTGTCAACAATACGTAATGCTGATAAAATCATTGTTTTCAAAAATGGTGAAATCATGGAAAGCGGATTACATGATGAGCTGATGGCGTTGGATGGAATTTATCGTCAAAGTGTAGAAGAACAAGAAATAGGAAAAGGTGTTGAGTTTGTTGATAGCGGTAGGTGATTACATTCTTTAAAAATATCAATTTTAAAATTAATCCCTAATTTTTGAAATTAATCGCTCTTTAAATGAAATAATGAACATTATTTTATTAAAAAAAATACTGTGCTTAGCATGTGTAGATTTTTTTTAGACGATCAATAAATCTGCGTGATGATAATATTGTTTATTCTAAACACTGAAATCATGTGAATATTCAGTAAGACTTGTTTCCTACCGGATAACGCAATGTTGACCACAGCTAATGATGGTCAGTGTCCTGAAAATAGCACTAGGCTGTCAGGAGGAAACTAATTTTTTTTTATTTTTTTTATTGAATTTTTTTATCCAATTCGTTCATTATTTTACTTGAAACAATTTATTGACTTGTGTTCTTGAAACAAGCATTTCTTTATCAGATTATATCCCTTACATCATATTAATACACAGACAACGAGCAACAGTTGAAAAACAGTGAAGGCGATGGTAAGAAGGACAGTAAATTAAATTGTCGAAGCGAATACTCCCGAAAATCCATTGTTTCTGAAAAATCACATGGTAACAAAACGGATTATGAAGACAAAAAGGAAGTATTTGAAATCATGAAATTGCATAATTTCTTAAACTTAGAAAAAAATTAATGCAAATATTTAATGCAGCTCTGATAACAAAAAAATTCACCTAAAAGTCAATTGTAAACACTGTATCAATTAAAAGTTGGACGAATTTTCCTTGCAATTTATTCATTATCATTTTACAGCATTTATATAAATCATTTCGAAGAAAGAAACTTATTTTTTGCTGTGCATGCTTGTGATAAAGTTAAAAATGCATCGATTTTCGATGTATTAAAGTTTGCCAAAAAGGTGAGAACTAACCTGCTGTCTCATTCAATACTGAATTAATTTTTAAGTTAGTCCAAATAATTAAACATAATAAATTATATTAAATTTAAGGAATTGCCGATCATTATTGTAGCTTTAGTATTTACAATAGTGCGAGGCTTATCATGGCCCGTTTTTTCCATCGTTTATGGTCGAACGTTTTTGGTAAGTTTAGCATTTGAATCTCCATATAAAGAAAGCAAAAATAAATAAATAATACTTTTAAGCTACCGCAAAAATATTTCAGCCATAGATAATCAGCTCACTGATAATTAGCTTATCACCAATTCTTTCAGGCGCTATCCTCGTTGGATATAGACAAAATGATAGAAAACACTGCGCTAAATACAATACTGTACCTCATTTTGGGTATTGTTGGTGGATTTTCAACATTTTCTTCCGGAGCGCTGTTTGGTACAGCCGGTGAACAGATATCAATGAGACTGCGTATTGCAGTATTCACAGTTAATTTTGTTAATTTTGCTTTATAGCAAGATATGAGCAATTAATTTGCTTAATTTATGAATTTTAATGTAAATATCATTTAGAATATCTTACGACAAGATTTATCATTCTTTGATAACAACGATCATTCAGTTGGAAAATTAACAACACGTCTGGCAGTCGATGCACAAAATGTCAAATCTGTATGCTAAAATTTCTCAGAAAATTTTATTCATTCGATTGAGAGGGAAATTTCATTTCACAAAAATATTTGAACAATGACTTCTGAATTTTACTTAAAAAATGTAATTTTATCGATACAATCTGAAATTTTTCAATTGGCACAAAACTAAATATAATTTGATCTCGTTAAAAATCTAATTTATAGGCAATCGATCAACGATTGGCGGAAGTTTTACAAGGAATTATTTCACTTTGCGCCGGTATAATTGTAGCATTTTTATTTGACTGGAAAATGGCATCAATTGGCTTCACTATCTGTACTATCCTTATCATTTTGCAAAGTGCTGTTTCGCAGTATCTCAAAATTCACGGTCAAAAAGATATTAAAATAACCGAAAAAGCTGCTAGTGTTAGTTTTTTCTTTCCTTTGAAATTTGTGAGAGCTACTAAATTTGAAAAATTTCAGTTCAAAGCAAATTTCGAATTTCATCCAACTTTTTTGCTGTAATGATTGGAATATGCCTTAAATAATTTAATTTATTAGATTATCCTATTTTGCATTATTTCAATTTGACATGCTTTTTAGATTCCTTTTTGTATAGTTCGACATTTTTTTAGGTTAGTTTATAATTTCTGACTTTCTCGCTAATTTTTTGATGACTAATTTTAGTTGGCTTCTGAATCAATCGAAAATATCCGAACTGTGCAATATTTAACTAAGCAAAAAAAGATGTACCAATCTTACTGTTTTTCATTACAGGAACCACATAAACGAGCCATTATACGAGGTTTCAATCTTTTCGAACTTAGCAATTAGCATAGAAACTAAAAAAATAAGGAGCAAATGGTTGAAGTCAATTTTGAATACTTGGATAATTTTAATCGAATGAAATTTTATATTTGAAATTATCTAATCAATTTGAAAATTGTCTAATCTTTGAAATTATCTAATCAAAAGCTCTAAATTTTCTTCTCGAATCTATTAGCCATTTCTGCAATATACTTATCTACCAGGTTTTTGGCAAGCTTTGAGTTATGCTATGTCTGTGAGTTTCATGCAGTTCAATTTTGCCATTTCTTATTTTTCCGGTCTTTGGTTGGTGCAAAATTCATGGTCTAAACCATACAATATTTTTCAGTAAGTCATTCGGAAATATTTTCTTCAATTTAAGCAAAGCAGAACGACACGGAGTGGATATAATCTATCTGTTCAAGATTTGATGTGTATATTTGTTACATCTGTGAATGGTACTCTGTAAGAGTACCAATAAGTCAAAATTACGAACTTCATTTTGCAGCAGTGTTGTGCTCAAAAACTTCAAGAGTAGCTACATTTATGAAAAATTTCGTAATTTTTATTCGTATAGGGTAATTGAAGCATTGAATGTGGCATCATTTACTGTACTTGCGGCAGCATCTTTCTTACCGGAATACATACGAGCGCGCATTTCAGCAAATTTAACATTTCATATCAAAAACTACGTTCCGCTTATAGATAATTTATCTGAGAATGGCATTCAACAGGTGAAATCTTCCTATTTTTCTAATCAACAATCGTCTATAACTTGCAATTACAATTTTCAAATGAAAAATTGCTGTGTCATTATTCGAATGAACTAATATAGAGTTTTAACTTATCAATTAGTCTTTAAACAACAGTTTCTCTTCCTTACTTTCATTATCTTCACAAATAGTTGATTATTTTCTTGAAGAAATTTCAACAAATTTTTTTCTTTCCAGCCACTGAAAGGAAATATTCAACTGAAAGACGTTTGCTTTGCATATCCAATGCTTTGTCAACATACTGTTCTCAGGAAATTTTCGATGTCCGCAATGTTTGGTCAAAAGATAGCACTGGTCGGATCAAGTGGATGTGGTAAAAGTACGGTGATCAAATTGTTGGAACGGTTTTATGATGTTACTGAAGGCGTTTTGGTAAAATTTATCTCATTCTTAAGACAATTTTTTTTTCTTAAGACAATGAAAATGAAAATTAGATTTCTTAAATTTTGTTCTGTGTGGTGGCGACTATTTAAATATATTGCATAAACTTTCAGAAAATGCACTAAATACTTAACATTAATGAGCAAGAATAGAACGATTTTTTTGATGACTTGAGTAGGACAAGAAATAAATCCAATTGCAAAGTGACGAAATGTTTAAAAATTTTTGGTTTTCAAAGTTATATACAATCTTAAGTGAATCAAATTAAAGCTTGTCGATAATCGCGACATCAAAAGTTACAATGTTCGATACCTTCGATCACACATTGCCGTGGTAGATCAAGAACCAACATTATTCAATATAAGTATTCGAGACAATATTGCATATGGCTTGGATGATGCGTCGCAGAATCAAATTGAAGCAGCTGCGAAATTAGCCAATATTCATAACTTTATTGTCGCTTTACCGCAGGTTTGTTTCAGGCCCAAAAATCGGGTACTAAAATCAGATTTTAGTGATATTCAAATATCCATGTTTCATGAGGAGTAGAATTAACGATCTGGTCGAAGTTTTATCCAAATTCTAATCTAATCAGATTTCGGGTCAAATATGCAAAATCATTAAAAGTAGAGTAGAAAATCAGGGATGCATAATTTCAAATTCTCCTTTTAAGATCAAATTTCACTTCCGGGTGATCAATTTTTGTGACTCACATTATTTTTTAGGGATATGATACAATTGTTGGTTCGAAAGGAAGTCAACTGTCCGGTGGCCAAAAACAGCGGATTGCAATTGCAAGAGCAGTTATAAGAAATCCAAAAATACTACTCCTTGATGAAGCTACCAGTGCGTTGGATAGTGGGGATGAAAAGGTTACGCATCCTTTTTTCATAATATTATCATTTTTGGCAAGCATTTTGGATCGAAAAAAATTCATTGAAAAATATCTTGCTCCATTTTAAAAGTTAAAAGGAAAAATTCGTTCCAGATTGATTTAACAATCATGCTATACTGAAGTTTTTAATGGATTCAAATTTAGATAGTACAAGAAGCGCTGGAAGCTGCACGTCATGGCCGCACATGCATTGTGATCGCACATCGTTTGAAAACAGTTCAGAACTCTGATTTAATCATTGTTTTAAAAGATGGTGAAATGGTAGAATGTGGTAATCACACTCAATTATTAGCACAAAAACGCTTATACTATTGCCTGATTGAAAAACAGAAAGTATTACAAGATATGTAGGATATGTTCTACTTCGTAAATATTTAAAATCAGTTGATATTTTTATATTTTGATAATTTTTTTTCTATTTTAATAAACTTACACTATTTAACTGCTACATTACATGATTAATTTCTATTCTTGGAGTATCTGAACTGGATGCAATTGTGAATCTCTGCTAATTGGTTATAGCCACCTGATTTAAAATTATAAGACAATTCCTATGAATTCAAAATTATCCTAACTTAAAAATATTGATTCATTTTAAATCGGAAAAAAATAAATCCCAGATATTAACAGTGTTGAATTTGACATATTTTAAATATGTTCCAGAAAATAATATCGTAAGACCGATATTTATTTAAATTCCGCTCCAAATATCAAATCAGCTTGTAAAACAGTGATAATCGAGCATTTATGAATTCATAATTGCCATACAGCAATGAGTCTCAACTACTTCGTTGTATGGAAAGGAAGAGGGAAAATTAAAGCAATGAATTCAAAATAAATGCTTGAAAAAAAGTAACGGAATAAAAACGAATTATGTCAGTGGAAGAATTTGAATGACAAAGACCATGAAAAGAATGTTAGGAAAAAAAGATGTGTCGCAAGAGGACGAGAAGATTGCTAATGTAGAAGTTAGCATAACGGAGAAGAAATCAACTCCTGAAATTTCCATTATTCAGATTTGGCCATAAATCTAATATAGTCAATTGAAGCCTGCTACAATTACAGTAGAATATAGCAACTAATATGCTAATCAATTCAGAGGCTACTGATTTTTCCCTGATCTGCTCCCTTTAAGTTCTAGCAAGTTGTAAATCTTGTTTTTGTATAGGAAGATCGTAAGTTGTAATATTTCATCTCCGTATGGTATGGATCAGATATCTCACGTAAGATATGAGCTATTTGCATTCTGGTTGCCGCGTTTTATAAAATTTCATTCACACCGGTTGTTGGGCTGGTTATATCTGTATGATCCGGTTGATTACTGACCTATGGGAGTGGGGGAGGTGAATAGCGGAAAGTAGGAAGTGAAGAGTTATGTAGATTTGTATGAAGTGAAATACAATAATTTGAAGGGGTTATGAAACGTCGAAGGGAGAGTGGCAGCATGGTTGTGGGACGGAATGCTTTGGTTCGTGCTATGAAAACATTGCTGGCTGCCTTTTGCTTCTATGCTTTGGGTCTCTTCAACTGTATCACTTATACTCTTCGAAGACAGTACTGCAATGTATGTTTTGCTCTTTTTATTTCTAATTTCATAAATATAGACCAAATTTATGCTCAGAATGGAGCAAAGTGACAACTGATCCTCGTTTAACCAGCATAAGAAATTTGAAATAGTAACTGTATTCCTATAAAGCTAAATTAGCAACTTCTACTTCGTACCCAATGTATTTTTAGTACAAAATAGAAGTTGCTAATTCTAGCTTTATACGAATACGTTTACTGTTTAAAATTTCCTTTACAACAAATATAGCTCGGTTTCTTTTGAAATCAAGCATATAAAATACTTAGTAGGTTAGATTGATAAGGCTAGCTGGTTGGACTGCTGTTGTGTTTACAGCTTACGTTATCCAATGCTGTAATCATTGTAGCAACGGTTTGTCATGCATTAGTGTCAGCGAACCAGACATTAAACTTTGAAATCGTTCTTTAAGATTTAAAAATGATATATAATATACTGCATGTATATTTTCAAATCACTCATGTTCAGAAATCATAATTGCATTTCAGATAAGAAAACATCAGGTTATTCGTTATGAATACGTTCCTCTATCACCTTTATCGGCACATCGATTAAGTAAGTATTTTTTTTTTCTTGATGCACGGTTATATCGAATAATATAAAACCATTTTACTATTGATGTCAGAACCTATCTTTTCATATGGAACTGATGTACTCGAAATGAATTTTAATGATTGAAAAAGTTTCTATGATTCATTTATTCATAATAAAAATTTTTCAGGTGTGGTAAAGCGAAAAATTTTGGTGCTTGATTTGGATGAAACATTGATACACTCACATCATGATGGTATTATACGTCCTATGGTTAAACCCGGTACCCCACCCGATTTTGTGTTACGAGTAAGGCTTTTTTATTAACTCCTTAGAGATTGAAAAAGTTATATTTCCTGCTAGAGATTAAAAAAATAGAGAATTGAAGATTTGGAGATTCTCAATAACATCAAGTTAGGTTAAAATCACTAGCCTTCTGTAATTAAAGTTAAACCACAAACGATAATTACAGGTGAATATCGATCGACATCCTGTCCGATTTTTCGTGCACTGTCGACCTCATGTTGATTATTTTCTTTCGATGGTTAGCCAGTGGTTTGATTTAGTTATTTTTACTGCATCGATGGAAATTTATGGGAGTTCGGTAGCCGATAAGCTTGATAATGGTAAAGGCATTCTGCAAAGGCGTTATTTCAGGTATGCATGATTTCGAACGGTCTTTATCTAGTTATCACTTCTCGTTGCTAAGTCCATTGTAGGCTTTCCAAACGATGTCTTTTAAATTTTTAATATGTAATACATCTTTTTAAATATTCAAATATTCAATATTTTCTAACCATTAGATTAGATTAAGAAAACATCGAACTTTGTATTTTTTATTTATAATTGCAATTTTTTTAATATGCTTTGTTACTGTAGACAGCATTGTACAATGGATTATGGCGGATATACAAAAGATCTTTCTGCTGTACACGCCGATCTCTCATCAATATTTATATTAGATAATTCTCCCAGTGCATACAGGAAGTTCCCCCGTAAGTTTTCGGATATTTGTATAGATGATAAACTGTCACTTCTTAACTTGTAAATCCCATGATTTATAAACTCATCTGTTCACATATCTATTGGAGTCTCTTTTCCTCAAGCCAGATTTTTATTTAAAGTGTTCATATATAATGATTGTAGCTATCATTTTGTTAGTCGAATGTAGTTTCGTAGCATCACCTAGTGACAAGAGCCTTCTTCTTTAACTCGTGACTTGATGAATTCCATGCAATTATATTTAATGAATTATGAAACCTTTTAAATACAAAACGTAAGAACTGAGGTATAAAAAAGCAGGGATTAACTTATGGAAAACTGGACGAAATTGGTGGTAACTGTACTTAAATAATTAGCTGAATAAGTTACATTTTCTATAGAACATTTTTAGAAAATGCAATTCCAATACGATCTTGGTTTTCGGATCCAACAGATACGTGTTTATTAGCATTATTACCATTTTTGGATGCACTTCGGTTTGCATCTGATGTGCGCTCAATTTTAAGTCGAAATCAACAGCTTCAACAAGTTTGGTAGTTATTTGAAGAAAGAAGGCTAAGCTACATTTTAAGGTTGATTTCAGCTGATATGTTATGTACTTCTTGCACAAAAAAAGATTCTATGATATGGCGTATACAAATATTTTTATACAGCTATGTATTAACTTCCACAGTGCAACATATCGTTTTATTTTTGTTAGATACCATATATTTTCATAGTTTTGAGCTGCTAATTGACAAGTTTAATAGTAAGGCAATTATTGTCGCTGTCGTTGTTATTATTTTAACTTTTTCATGTTCTCTGTTTCTTTATGGGTATTTTCATCAGGAACGGCTTCATTATGTATGCCTTTGTAAAAAGTTGAAGGAGGGTCTTTTTTTATTTCAGGATTGATTAGTGATTAAATTGAATTGATACTTATTACTAGAATTGTTTATTAATTGAGTAGGTTTGCGAAAGTAACATTTTTAATTACACTTGTGCAGTGAAATGCCACAATGTGGAAATGCACTTGAATGATTATTTTAAATTATATTCATAGTTCTCAAGACCTTGTGGTAAAAGACAGAAGAACAAGTGTTTTTAGAAAACAAACGAGGCCAATGAAATAGTAATGATATTTGAAATTTTTATGGCACTGCCTTTGCAAACTCTGAATCTGTGTAAAGAATATCATCGTAATGACATTCTGTCAAAGGTGATATTTGAATCACATTGTACATCGCTATTTCTGATCTGTTTTGTCCACTTACTACGAGTAAGTTCCTTGTTTTATGTAAATTTTGATCTCATCAAATATGTTTTATTTTATGGATAATTTATGGATACTTTATTGTTTTTATTTTCCTTTGAAATGGTTTCTTTTTATTTTTGAACATATGGGAATGAAAGTTCCTAGATAGAACTTCGATAATTCAATATACCAGTTCTTTCAGGAATAAGGTTGATCGAAACTTGATAATGTGATTCTATTTGCTTAAGTCATATACATCTGCAATCTTTTTTAATTTAAAGTACTCAAAAAGAGCTGCGTGCAAGAGAAATCTGGTATAATATCGATTTGTTTTTTTATTTTCAGCTTTTCTCGCAGAAATAATCTTAGATATTTACGAGGTATTGTTTTTCAATAAGTTGCATGTCTCGAAAAATAAAGCATTTCCTCTGAGATACAGTAATCTCATTTTGAACTTAATAAGTGATTTAATCCGAAGTTTGACTAATTAAAATGCATAATTATGCATTAAAATTATTGCTGGGAATTAGACTTTACAGATGCAATCAGTTATCAACTGGCTTTGAATTTCTTTAGTAATTAAGATGTTTTACACTTCATTAAAGAAAGACTTTAGGAGGAGAGTCCTTCAGCGCGTCAATTTTTGTTTGAAACTTTTATGTAAGTGTTTGGAAACATGATCAATTCTAGCAATCCTGTAATGTAATTGTTGAATACTTTTGACATCTTAAAATTGTAATGAACCTATAATGTTGGAGACTTTTACGTATGAATTTTTAGATGTATATAACTACTGTATAGCAAATGGAAAATTAAATTCATTCTGATTCACACAAAATATAAATCATAATAATACATGAGAATAACCGCTATACGAGAATGTGCTAGAATAGTTACTTGACTTCTGTTAGTATTTTTTTGTCGATCTCTTACAGATAATGGGATGATGTCCCTCACAAAATCTTTGGGCAACTATGAGTATAATATAACACCTCAGCTTAATAAATTTAAAAAAAAAAACTGTTACCTTTAATTTGAAATTTCAGTGAGTAGTAGTTAATATTTCATAAAAAAAACAGGCGTTATAATAAGTTAGTCTTTAAAACAAGAATGCCAATAAGGTAAAATACATGACAAAATGCTGAAATCATTTACTAATATATTTGCAAATTAATGTCGAATAAGTGAACAAAATATTCCTTTCACAAAAGTATTGATCTTTAAACTCTGGAGTTCTCATGCGAGAGACAGAATGTTTGGTGAAATTTTCTATGAAGATAGATTTTAAAAGAAATTTAAATGAAATGATTAAATATAGAAGACAGAGATAGTAAAGAGATATCATCACATTCAATGTTGCTTAAAATGATCGCAGAAATTAGAGTGTCTTCGTTTCTAGTGGACTTTTTTCTTTTTTTGGTATTTATTTACCATGGAATAAAATTATCACTTACTTTATTCCCTACTGATAGTGTTATTCGTTAAGGTTTCATTTTTTCATTCAGTTAATCTTATCAATTTCGGTGCCATAATTTATGCATTTTCAGTCTTCGAGGAAGAAGGAAACTGTAATGGTAATTGAAAATTAGCAGAAAACTGTGGAAGTTGTACTGGTGGCATTGGTAGCCTTAAATCCATTAAATTTGGAGGAACAAGTGGCGATAGATTATGGAGAAATGACGTATTGAAATTTCTTACTGCATTTTCACCTGGTAATCTATAATCTAAACTAGGTCGATTTTGTGAACCACCAGAAAATATGATCGTGTAAGGTGATGGAAGTCTCAGATACAGCGGAGAAATTGGCTGATGCTGAAGATAGGATGGATACAACAGGTCGGGTCTCCATCTTAATTCATCTTGCCATCGTTTGCTAAAATAGCCCATACAATATTTTCAATTCTTATATATCTTAGGAACTCTAAACTCGAATTTACAATGTAACAAACGGCTTACAATTAAATTCTTGACAAATTATCCGGTTCGAAAAAAAAACTTATGGCCGATCATTTAAAATGATTTAGAGGCTATCACATTATTATATGATTGATGAAAATTAGAATATGCAGAAAAAGAAAAAGAAATTGAAAGAAAAGGTTTTTGTAAAATTTTCTCTGAAACGTTCGCAGTTGTTCAAAACTGCCAAATATACGTTGAATATCTGAAAACCAATAGGCAAAATATTTCATACATCCATCAAGCGGATATCCTGAAGGAATCCGAGATGTGATAGTGAAGTTAAATGATAACTCACAATGTCCTTGCATATAACGGTCCATAAGTTGTGTCTTGCTTTTCTATCCAATTCCGAAATTGTGGTACTTCATCATATCTCGACATAATATTGTAGAAAAATAATTGCTGTTCCATTTCCTTTTGTAATGCAGCTATTTGTGCAAGGATGAAATGTCGTTCTTCCACGTCTGATTCTTTTAGGATAAGTAGTCTAACTTGTGCTGAGATCATCTGTAGGGACAAATATAAATTTAAAAATGATACAATTTAGTTTTGTGGTAATAACAAAAAGACAAAAAGTTGGCTTAGTAGCTTGGAATATTGTAGAAATATAATGATAACCTTATTTGAATTATTGATATGCGTTTATCAGTATTAGGAATTGAACAATGGAAGCATACCTGTTGTTTAATATCTTGGAGATTACAAAATAGCAATTGTAGAGTAAAATTTGGAAACAATTGAAGGAAGAGATCCCGTAACATTTGTCTTATAGGTTATTTATTTGGTTAACAGTATCAGAAATATCAAATAGTGGTGTTATTTAAGAGTTCTATGGTAAAGGAAATAGATCTGCTTGGAGGCATATCTCTATGATCACATAAACTTTCAAAGATCATCGATTCTCATCAGCTTTTTTTTCCCGGGACAGATAAAATTTTCAAAAAAATTTACGACAAAAATTTATTTTTTGCAGAAAATGTAGGAAAGTATTCGTCAAACATTTGAAATAAACTACTTCTCATGCATAGGAAGAAGATCTAAATCACTATGATAAACTTATCAGTTAGTTAACTTTTAAGCATGAAATTAGATTAGAAAATGAGCCTTCATTTACATATGTATAAATCAGGTATACAAGATTTGCTTCCCTAATCAATAGTGATGTAAAATTTGCATTTCAGTAATCAAATTATAAAAAAAAATGCAATATGATGAAGTTATATGAAGTAAGATAAGAGTTTGTATGGCTTGTAATTGGTTGAAAAAAATAAGAAATTTCAGGCCAAAGAAAAGTATATCGATGCTTTTATTTTCATATTTTTGTCACATTTTGATTGTTTTTGAAGAGGTAAGCTTCTGTACTATCAGCTAATAATGTCATAACTAATCTCATAGATCTGATATATGTGATAAAGCCAAACAATTATCGCTCTCTCTAGAAGTTAATCATGACTGGTGAATTTTGAAATCAAATTTAAATCCTACACCTAGCAAATTTTCTCATTTTATTGCAGTCATGTTTAACGTGTACCGCAGTACTGCTGCTATGCCTACCGAGTTTCTTATTTCATAAAGCAATTGCATTGCTCATCACAGTATCAGCTCTACTTGGCTTTTTTTCTATGACATGTCGCATGCGCACCTGGCAGAAAAATTTACAAGATATTCAGTCACCTGTCAGTACTAGCAAACCATTCTCAAAAATTATTCAAAATTTATCTGAGAGTTTTATTTCATTCAATTATAATTTTTAAAATCATATAAATTTCAAAATAAAACGATAAAGAAATGATAAACAAATGAAAAATTCAGTTTCATCATTTAAAAAAGCATTAAAATTGCAAGAATTCTTATCGAATTTGATACTTAACCTTTCACACACAATTTGACACTTCAAATTGTTACTTATTCAAAAATAAACCAAAGAAACACGGATAGCATGGAAACATTATGTTTATCAATTAATCTGTTAATTGCGAGGCTTAACGCTATCATTTTTTTTCAAAATGTGCTGAAGAAATTAGATTTTAATGATGCTAAAAAATGATCAATTTTTAATTATGGGAAATATTCTTGAATGTTTCACGAGGATTAATAACGTGGTTGGCAGTGATTGCCTGGTTTTGGCTTAATTACACATTTAAATTCAACGATTTTATCAATACAAGATGGTTTATTTCGGTATTAACAACATTTGCTTTCCATTTTACTTTTTATTAACTCAAATAATTAAGTAAAATGTTAGTGTGTTTCTGAAAAATATGATAAAATCATTTTATCAAACTGAACATTTTCCAAACAATATTCTATTTCTATTACACTCTTTTTGCAGAATTTATTATCGATATCCAGTTTAGCTGTTCTATTTCAACTTTTGCTATATCGTTACTAATATTCCACACACCAATTGTAACAATTAATGGAAAAGAATCTAAAATATTTTCAACTGCTTGTTTTAATTTTGCATCATAATTTTTTACTGCATTTGTAATAAATTTCAAATCATAACTGCTGGATTCAACATACTGTTTATGCCTTTTGATGCAATAGTTCAACAGATAGGAATTAATTTATTATACAGGGTTAAATGAAATTCAATTTCGAGTCATAATAGCATATATCTCAAATAGTCAGTTGGCCATTTAAAGAGAAATCCTTTTAAAATATGTGCTAAAATAAAATTCTCATAGCTAAAAGATTAAATTCCTCAAACGATTTATGGTGTTTATTTTTGTCCTAAAATTTGGAGAGGAAAAAACCCAATAATCAACAATATTTGTGCCTGTTATCAATTGCTTTATTTTAAAGGCGATTATCAAAAGTTACAAAAAAATTTTTTTCACTATTATTTTTTTTACTATTATTTTTTACATCGCATTTTTCAATCTGAACTCCAAAAATTTAATAATAAAGTAATTTCTGCTGTTTTTTTTCTGAATTTCTGATGGAAGTAATTTCTGATATAGAAACTTGAAATTTTTGTTTTAAGCTAACTGCCATAAAAATGATTTAAGGTAATTATCAAAGTTTTGTCAGAATTTACTAGTGATTATACAGTACTTTTTAATACATTAACAATTATTCATCGAGCTTTTAAATATAACGCAACTTACGGGAGGTTAAAAGAAGACTTTTGCAAATTTAGCCTGAAAATGTCAATTTGTAAAATTCATCGCAAATTATTTACTTTTTTGGACAAATATTGTTTCAATTTTAAATTTTCCAGGAAAATAAAGGCTCCATTACAATTCTATATGATATTTTAAAGCAATCAAAATATTTTTCCATAAAGTATACTCAATAACTACTTACTTCTCTTTTCATCCTCATAATTGTCACCTGTCATTTGCGATGTCTTACAAATTTGACCTGAAAATACTTTTTCACATCTTTCATTATGTATATAAGCCCGAAATATTTACATCACTGCTTGCTTTTTTTCTTTGCACTTATCGCAATTGTAGATTGTTTTTTCCATTTGCTGGTTTCCGGACTTCCTCATATAAAATTTTGCGTACAGTGAAGTTTTCCTTGAATTCCTAAATAATATTATAGCAGAAAGTATCAGTGAATGAGAACAAGTGCTTTCTCAAGGACAGTCATTAATGATTGAATTTGGTTGCAAATTCGAAAGTTTAAATGCTGCATTGAATTATTCTATAGCTCGTCGAAAACATTGAAAATTTTCAGGGCTTTCTGAAATGCCGAAGGTAATCAGCGATTTGCTTTAATGCTTAAATGACTTGCAAATTGAACCAATTGATGGAGTTGTTGATGTACGTAAGAGCTTATTTTAGGACCTGTTATAACTATTTATGATAAAAAAGAACTGCTCATAATAAGTGCAATGAATATTACACGTCAACAAATGAAAGGAAGTCATTCTCTCAACAAATTTCTAAATCGATGCGATACACAAAGGTGATAGGCAGTTAGGAAGAGGACGAACAGTGCAGAACAATATAATGAGTAGGAGCGCATTCCGTATCGGAGAACTCCGTGAAGTAAAGCTGCTTTCATAGAATGAATCACTATATTCTAATTCAAAAAAATAATTTAATTTATCATCGCTTTGTCCATTTTGGATCTATTGTGGAGCGTCATTCAATCAATGATTTCAACGGCGTAAGAGTTATTAAAACAAAAGAAAAATAAAATATTTTTTCCAATCATTTACTATTTGTCAATTTAAACTTAATTTTAATGGATTTACATAGTATTGAGAAGACATATTTATTTCACAAATGGTTTTCGCAAATTGCCCGTATTATAGTAACATTTAAATGTTGTGATTACATGCATAATCCGTCGAAATTAAATTTTGCAAACAATTTGACGTTTTGTCCAACCTTCCGCTTTGCATATCTATTCCTCAATAAGTTGTTTGATAATATGGTGATATTTAGTATGTAGATTAAAAGATATAATGATAAAATATTGTGGCATATCACAAAGTAACAAGTAATTTAAGTTAGGTTGAGTTGTCGCAGTCATAAAATTTCTGTAACAGAGATCAACAATGTCATTTTTCTACTTTTAAGTTACTCTCAAACAGAATACAAATTTCTGAGATCAACGCATTATGTGAACACGAAATTTGTTCCACGCCTAAGTTGACAAGTGACATTGTTGACATTTTGCACATTAAACTGTAACAGTCAGAGTACCACACCGTCCAATCCATACTTTTATAATTCTGGAGCACAGCTGCTGAAGATGACATCTGTCTTAGAGTAATTGTATCACGTACCGTAAGCCTCATCCTGGTTTCATGCCAGCTTCGGAATAGCAAAAACTTGGCGCGTAATGAGCATGGGAATAGTTAACTTGTTTGTGACTTTCTCTTCTCCTGCGATCTCTCGTATGGCAGCTATAATCTATGGAGCTATAATTACTTGTAAACGTAGCAGGAAACGGAAGAGTATAGCATAATTTTCTATCAAAGTTCTTTTCAGAAATTTCGAGTTTTTCTCTTTGTTGCACTATTTTTAGATATATTTTATTGCAGCACAGATTCAGTTTGGCTTCCTTAATCAAAATTAGAAGCCTAATAAGCAAAGTAAGTCATATATCGTTTCATTCTCATGGTATCACTGTGCAAGCGTCTTTGTCACGGAAATTCCTGCATATTTACAATTAATTGATCGCATCTGCTGCTGTCTTGCTTTATTGCATGATACTTTTCCATGTACAGATCATACTGCATATTTCGTATGCTTTTTATATCCATAACTACAGCTTAATCATTAATAATAGTAGGAAATAGGTAGGTAAGGCTGAGTTTGCATACCAATCCAACCTACCTGCATTAAAAATGACTTGTTTTTTGCGCTTTAAGATTCATATAATATGTAAGTTTTTGGTCTTAGTGCATAAGATTACTGAGCAAGATGTATAGTGAATTCTTTTTTTCATAATTCAAATACCATTGCATCAAGCTTTTGTATTTTCGGAGTGTTTGTTATAGTAGAATAGAATTCAATCGTTCGGACATTCTTTACAGTTTAAGAAAATCGTAGAAACATATATACTTGAACTCTGTCGGGAACATTTTTCTTTTAGATATAGGTATAGGAGTAGTTTCTGTTTTCATAAAAACTGTCGGGATACAACAACGTGCCGCTTTGTGTTTAATACAGTTTCCGTATTTCAGACAAATTTTTGCCAAAAATCGCACTGTAATTTAAATACACTGACTATTTCTTTGCATGTTTTTTGCTTTGTTTTTATTCCTACCTACTAAAACCAAGAAGAGGTAATTGTGTTGATTGTCGCAGCTGTCCTCCGCTAGCAGTAGCAGTAGTAGTACTAATAATAATAGTAGTTAAATTCAGCATCGGCAGTGCATGCCTTTTGTGATATTCAAAATCTTGTAGAAAGGAAACGTTTCCTTTACTAGTTGAAATATTATGTTACTTCACATTTGGTTCTCAGTTTCAATTATCTATAACGATTCTTACATGCATGTAATTGTATTTCAAGTATTTTTTTGCCATATGCCTAACATTGCTATGATATGTCTCGAGTTCTTAATCCAGTCCAGTTTTGGTATGTGAAAATTTATGCCGAAAGCAATGCCCATTTTTTCTTTTTTTGAATATTTTATGTTGTCTCTCTTGTCTATTTCATGTAGTTTTTATTTAAAATATTGTCACAATGGCAAAACCGAAGATTTTACTTTATTTCCCGAACGTCCAGTTTTGACTTTGCTTTGATTAGGGGTTCGTCCTGAAAATTTAGATTTTCTTTGCTCTGGTTCTGAAAAATTACAGCTGAATTAGCTTGTTTCTGTTTTATAACGATCACTTCTGTTATTGATTTGATTTGATGCTTTTAGTGTGCACATAGTCCCCCTTCCATATTTATATAATAATTGCCTATTGTTTCGTTTTATTTGTTTCTGATTTCATATAATTTGTGGTATACAACTTAATTATAAAATGATAACTAAGTTATAAAATGACATGATTTGAGGGTTGAAGTCCTTCTTTACTACATTTGGTTAAAGCTAAGATGATAGGAACTTTTTTGTTGTGAGATCAAACATAGAAATGAGCTGCTATTTGAAAAAATAGAGACGATGTGAATGATATTCGAGATATTGAATTAAAAAGAGCTGTGACAAGGTAGTCTATAGTGATTAGTTTTTTGGCATCTTTCAAAGTTGAATAGGTTGTACATCGACGGGAATGTTGATTATTATCCTTGAAAAGACTCTGTTTGCAGCATTCACCGCATATTGCACTTATACTGACGAATATTTTGCCGCCGGCGAGCAGGAAGAAAACGTGGTACCTGTTCGAAGTGTACATTTAAAGTTGCCTAACACGGGTTCCTCGTTGTCTTCATCGTTTGACCCAAATAATCCGACTAATACAATTTCTGACTCCTCACATAAAAAATCCGACACGCTTGATAGTACCAAAAGTAGCGATTCGTCCTCTCTGTCGAGGACATTACCCAAATTGTCGAAAAAGCAGGCCAGCATTTTACGACCATTTTTGCGGAAGAAAACAAAGGTATTTCAAGTGCAACTTATTCTAATGGGAATAAATCAATTTTCGTATACATAGGTGTATTTTGGAAATTGAGACGCGAAAATAATTTTGCTCAACACTAAAATCTATATCAAGATATATGTCAGTTCAACATTAACTAAAAAATTTTCATAGAGTTTGAAGCTTTCGAGCACAAATTGATATGTGGATTTGGATACATTTTGAAATGCATTGCAACTTTCATTACTCCGTGTCCATTTAAGATTAACCCGAAATAATAAAATCGAGAACAGAATATTTTTCAAAACATTCAATAGTTTCACAATGAAATTGTCAATACCATCATTTTATCCCATTGGATTTTCATCTCCACATTTGACAGATGGAGTTTGTTTAACATTTGCAGACCTATGGTTTCTGTTTTGCAGCGAAGTTCATCATCAGGAAATAGCCTCGGAAGTGGCAGTGACCACCGCGAAGCAAATAGAAGTAGCGAAGGTGAGGCGATGAAACGAACAGCGTCTCCGACGCTTCCGGACGGTGCAACACAAGCTAAATATGAGCCTCCCATATGTAATGGAGAAATTGATATATCCGGCTCGTTTAATGTTAGTGCCACAATTGACACGAATTCATTGGAGGTAAAATTTCTTTCCTTTAATCTATGCCCCAAAAATCCATAAATACTTCGAAAAAAGTAAAACTGGTTGCAGCAGAACATTTGCTAAATAATATGACGACAAGTAAATAATGAGAATTTCAAATTCGGTGATATGTGATGCAGTGAAATGTCACCATCGCATTTACGTGGAAAAGTGGATTAGCAAAATTACGGGTACCAACACAGCCGAAACGCCTTAGTCAAAGTAGTGTATTTGTATTAAATATAAATGAGGAACAGAAGTTATCAAACTAGTTCTTTTCGTTTTATTGCTTTGTAATTCCATATATTCTTGTAAATATTTAATAAATACATTACTTACTTAATTTATATCTAAAGCAAAAAATGATGTGGATATACTATTGGCTATTGTTTAATTGAGCAACCTGTTAATTTAATCATTTGAATAGAATTTGATATTTTTCTCATTCATTTTTGGAGATTGTCGTAGCGCTTCTTATGCTCAAAATTCAAATCAAAATAAGGGTCCATTTTAAAATAAACTGTTAGTAATTTATAAGAACTGGATTTAGCTGTTTTGCATGTGAACTTCATGGGTCTTTATTGAACAAGAACAGCATATGTTGTTTTCTGTGCGTACTGCATTAGTTCACGTATGAAATTGTTTATACCACTTTATTATAATCGATTGGGCATGTTCAGTTGAAATCTGAAGGAATGCTTTTCTGTTTGTGTCTGAAAACAAATGTGTATGAACTGAGAAGAGAGGCGTAATTTCTCGTTGAAACATAGTGGGACTTAAAAATTAGGAATCGAAAAAACCCACATGCATCTATTGCAATAGGAAGTTATTTCTGAAAGGCTTATATTTCCAGATACGAGATTTGATGAAGTTAATAACCATCCCATTTCATTTTTAAATGGGCGGTATGATCCGATTTATGGTTTTCCATTGTTTTAATAAGTATGAAATATGTGCAGATAATGTGATTGCGTATTGCTGCATTCTCTAACTGAATTGGCAATATCTCTCAGTTGGTGTGTTTCGAATTATTCGAACCCAATCATATCCACTGATCGACTGATTTGATTTCTTTTAAAATCTTGCTCGTTGATTTGATCCAGTATTGAGCATGCTTAATCACCTTATAAATATTCTGATGACTTCTGGGCTTTCGAGCTGTTGTTTTGCAATTGACTGATAATGAACTCTATTGTAGCTTATTTCATGTTGGTTCGCGAATTCCTATGAAATATAAATTCATATCTTACGAAACTACTGTTGTCGTAAGATATTTTTATTGAAGGAAAAAATAATTGGCTTGGAAAATATTGTAAAATAAAATCAATAAGACAATCAATGAAGAGTACGTGTTGTGATGTTAGATAAAAATGTCTATTGTGCAAGCTCTCTTGCACAATATGAAAGCGAGGAGGAAAAACAGTTGTGTAATAGTAAGTACAACGTTAGCGGCTCTCATCACTAAGCCATCTCTGCTGGTGCTGATAGTTCTGGTATGCGGATTAGTTTAGAAATGTGCATATATGTGCGTATATAATTTTTTTAAATATTTATTCCTAGTTGTATAATTCTCCCGATTTATGCTTAACTTTCGAAGTTAATTTTTTTTGTTCGCAGGGAATTTCAGTTTCTCATGTTTCTTTTTGCTATTCCAAAATAGTTCTTAATATGAAAAAATCAACATTTATAAAAACTGGCAGGTGCGAGAAAGGGAAAAAGAAGCGCACTACACGAAATGAGAATTCACTTGTACTTTATAATAAAATTTACCAAAATTCTCATGCGAAAAGCTTATTTAAGTACAAGAAATTTTTTAATATAGTGTATTAAGCTACTAAGCAAATATTTATAAATTTCCCATGTTTCGTGTCTTTGTATTTATATGGAAAATATTCAGTTATTTATTCAATATTTCAGTCGCAGAAAGAAAAAACAGTAGAGGATTCGCCATTACAACGTATGGTTCCATTGAATAAGGATTCTCGCACTGTCTGTTCTACGGATGCATCAGTGAGCATGATGGTGCAGTCTGTTGACTGTACCAACGGTAAAAAAGCAAAAGATATTCCAAATGGAATGGCCGCTACTGCTGCTCATCTGAATAATGCAAAGTTAGAAAATGCCTACAAAGAAAGCGTTGCCATACTCGATTTTGGCGCTCAGTTTGGAAAGGTAGCTCAGTTTACAATTCTGTTTTAACTTGCTATTAAGTATGGTAGGGTATAAGGTGCATACATAAATTCCGAAATCCAAGAAATTTGGTCACTCCAGCTTATCTCGTGTAATAAGCACTAGCATGATTGGCAATCAAAAGTTTTCTCATCGAAACTGCGTCAGAAGTGAGTTCCGATTTCTCTCATACAGCATATATTTGTGGAGCTAGAGTTACATTTGTCAGCAAAAAATGATAAGTAACAGCTGTCTTGTTTCTTCTCCTCACAGTGAATACACGATGATTATTTAAACTTCATATGTATGCTGTTATTTTTTAGACTTTTATTTATGTGGGTAATGCATATCTATAATAATTAAACTCTTATATATTACACTTTTAAAATAGTATAGGGTGAGTTTTCCTTACAGTAACAGTAAAATAGATGAGAGAGTATAACTTTGCAGTTGTTCATTATGAGTTTCATTATGATTATGATTATGACTGTGATTCATTATGATTATGAGTTTGCTTACAATTTACTGCATCGAATGGAGTGGTGTGTTTCCGCTTCTATTAAACTGTTTGGAAGTTAAGGATCTACTTATTATATTATAGTATTTCTTCTTTATGTTTACCAACAGGGTTGGAAATAAAA